ATACATGTAGTAATAATAATTATTAGAAGCACAGCAGCTCTCCGACCGTTGTGTTCTATCGCCGTACAACGCGAATTCCGTGCAACCTTAGAGCATGAATAGTAGTGAGTTGTGATATTATTATTATTATTATTATTATTATTATTATTATTATTATTATTATTATTATTATTATTATTATTATTATTATTATTATTATTATTATTGTTGTTGTTTTTGTTGCTGTTGTTATCATTATCGTCATTATTATTATCATTATTTGTATATCAGTTGTTATTGACTATTCTATAGATATAGACAGTCGATAAAACATGTTCCAGTACGAAAAGCGACAGTCAGGCTTCTGGTTCTGAAAAAAAAACAGTGTCATTAAATATTTTTTTATTATATATGCCTTCCCAACTACTAAAAAATATATCCCACTATTATGGGGGTCAATCGCTCAAACCATAAGTAACGGAATATATTCGAAAATGAAACAACTGATCGCTTCACGAAAACCATAATATACATTTTATGAGGCAAAATTGAGTCTCAACGAAAAAAAAACTATCGCCCGGAATCATGAATAGTAGCGAGTTGTGATGATCTTAATGGCTGTCTTTTCTTGTATAGTTCGATGACCTCGTATAAGTGAAGGCTGTGTACATGAATGACTCATTAGTCTGGTGATACTATTATATTGTTACTACCTAATACTAAAATATGTTTGGATAATTAGAGTACTGGCACATTAGCACTTATAGTCTGGTTAGACTTGACATAGACCACGAATATTTACTTTTGAGATATAATTTTGGTATGTGTTGATTCTTGAATATTTCATCTTCGTCGTCCTGTACTTCGTTTAGTAATTCGAACTTCCCAGTTTGCGTAAAAAGGGCGAGTTTCGCGAATTCCGCATCGAAAATGCCTTTGCTTCATTATTTGCTGAGGGACGGCCGCTTAGGTATGTGCTCTGTAACTTGCAGCACATGGACCTAAAAACGTTAGGTAATCAAACAAAAATGACGTTGTACTAAAGTCCAAAAAATACGTTCAAGGTCTGCGTTTTTTCGTAGCATAAAAACGATTTACCACCTCGCTTATTGTGACACCCTCAAATCAACTGATTTCCATTCCCCTCAAAAGTCAAAATGGTATGTGCCGCCATTGTAGGCCAGGACTCGAAACCGTCTTTTTTTGCCTGGCGTGTTCATTTGTCTTCAATAACGTTTCAGTGGCTGTCGCTGTCATGCTCTGAGTCATTTTGTCCACGAGAAACTCCGACAAATTTTCAACAAAAGCTAATTTGCATAAAAATGCCTTCGCCTTTCGACGCCATATTGGGGAGACAACAACGTTTAAGGGCTCATACCACTAATTGAATTTCCATAGACGACAATGTTAACATATGACGAGATTGCTATATGAAAATGACGAAGAAAGTTGAAAATATGGCTCAAAAATGGGAAATCAACATGCCAGTAATCAACCATATGAAAAAAACTAACATGTTGGCCAGCTCAAACTCTTGCAAATCTCAGGTAAACAAGACACACCTACTGTATTTGGATTGCACCAAGAGAAATCACTGGAAAAACACCAAGATTAGAACATAAGCGATAAGCGGTCGATGTAAAAGCGGAAGGTTGGGCGAAATGAGTACTGTATGACCATGTTTCTTCGACGAAGTCTCGACTGACAATAATGCTGACAATGGACGTTAGATAAACACGCATTGTTTGCAACTGGAAGCTTATCACCCGTTATATCAGAATCGTCAGCAACAGAGTATACAGATAAGGTTTTATCATTTAATTCCTTCCAAAGATAAACACTATGCAAATATCCACGAAACGGCAGTTGTAGTCTTTTCCGCTAGTGTTTTAAAACACTAATTTGAGCAACGTTATTTCGCAATTTCGATCTTTTGTAAACCTGGGGTGATGTATCAAGGTCTAAAGTAACCGTTTTATCAATTTTTGAAAAATCAAGAAAAAAGTGAAAATTTCCCTTCTCGCTACCTTAACACACAGAATAAACCCACAGGTACACAGCCGCTAAGTAGTAAACAAAAGACCACATGTTGGTCTCACCTCTGACCCAGGTGATTACGCCCTCAAACAGGGAGCACCTGAGAAAAATAATATTTAAAAAATTTCATTGGTTCTTGCTAGGCATTTCGAGCAGCCATTGGTTAATTAGTGGCATGAGACCTTAAAGCTCAGTAGCAGGACAATTCACTCGCATTAAATTGTGTTTGCCGTGATTATGTTCGCCATGACGCGGTAATTACTGTCGCATCTTTGCCGCCATATTGAATTCCTGTTAGCTTATCCTTATACTAACAAACTCTTCCGGTCCGGTTAGATTTTTGTTAAGTGTTGGTTCTTGGATATTTAAGCTTCTCCGTACTTTTTTTGCTAATTCGTACTTGTGAGTTTGCGTTAAAATGGAGAGTTTCGCGATTTTGACATCAATTAATTGCTGAGGGACACTTCCGGTCCGGTTAGACTTAAAATACACAACGAATATTCACTTTTCGACATAGAATGTTGGTTCCCGGGTATTTCGAATAAATGATATATCCAAGCACTAGGCTCAATCAATTTAATCAACAAATAAACATGGAAGATTTGGGAACATTTGAAACGTTTGTTGTGAATTTGCATTACATTGCGTGAATTTGCATTACATTGCGTGTTTATTTTTTAAGGCACGTACTGTAATTTTTTTTTTCTTTTGGAGTCCCTCACATTTATTTCAACGAACGTTCATTAACTCACGTGCCGTATAGCACGTGACGCAGACCAATTTTAATTGGGGGAAATATCACTCTTTTCTTATATCGCTCACATTGATTGATGGAAGAAAAATGCACGTCTCTCATTGGTTAAGACAATGATAAAAGAGGAATTTCTGAAATCGTTCTTAGCAATCGCCCGACTGAATGCACGCCACATTACTCTCTATTTATTTTTTACAAGCGAAGCATCTCCAATCAGATTCTCTTTTGCAATCTACATTCCTTTTAATACCGACTGCAGAGCGGTGTAAAGTTTTTTTTTGTCATTTCAGGTAAGTCATCCTTATATTATAAGTTTTTACTTTCGAACATTTCTGTAATACTTCATATCAACTCACACCAGGTGACGAACACAGGCCAAAATGTCTGTTCTCACGTTATTCAAATATTTCACACACTACAGAAAAGCAGCAAACTATTTCTTTGAGTCATGTACAGCAAAAATTTCTCACAGTATTCCGTCCCAAAAAATGAGTGAAATGTTTATTTGTTTGTATTTGGGTCATTTATAGCATTCTGTGTGCGTCAACGTTTTTGTTGATAATCCAGCACAATTTTCTGTTGAGGCCAAACACAAGACGGCAAACTAATACTTTAAGTT